TCAAAAAAAAAAAAAAAAAAAAAAAAAAACCCAAACAAAAACCCTGCAGGCAAGAAGAAAGGGCTGGAAAGAAGTATTCAAAGTCATGAAAGGCAAGGACCTACATCCAAGATTGCTCTATCCAGCAAAGCTTTCATTTAAAATGGAAGGGCAGATAAAGTGCTTCCCAGATAAGGTCAAGTTCAAGGAGTTCATCATCACCAAGCCCTTATTATATGAAATATAAAGAAATTTATCTAAGAAAAAGATGATAAAAAATATGAACAGTAAAATGACAACAGACTCAGAACAACTGAACCTAAAACAAAAACAAAAGCAAACTAAGCAAACAATTAGAACAGGAACAGAATCACAGAAATGGAGATCACATGGAGAGTTATCGGTGGGGAGGGGGAGCAGGGAGAATGGGGAAAAAGGTACAGGGAATAAGAAGCATAATTGGTAGTACAAAATAGACAGGGGGAGGTTAAAAATAGTATAGGAAATGGAGAAGCCAAAGAACTTATATGTATGACCTATGGACATGAACTGGGGCAGGGTGTATGCTGGTGGGAGGGGGGTGCAGGGCAGAGGGGAATAAAGAGGAGGAAAAAATGGGACAACTGTAATAGCATAATTGATAAAATATATTTAAAAATAAATAAAGATAAAACAACAACAAAAACAGTATCTGTATTCTTTTTTTAAACTGAATTTGTTGGCGTGACATCGGTTATGAAATTATATAGGTTTTGGGTGTACAATTCTATGGTTATACCATGTATCGTGTGTTCCCAACCCGAAGTCCAGTCTCCTTCCATCACCATTCATCCCCCCATTTCCTTTACTACCTCCTCCCACCCCCTTCCCCTGGTAATTACCATGCTGCTGTCTGTGTCTAGGAGGTGTTTTCCTTAATCCCTTCACCTTTTTCACTCAAGAACATTTAATATCTTATTTTCTATTTTATTAGTTAAAACTCTTTAAGCTAACAGAATTTAGTTTCTTTAGCTCTCTCCCACAGTCCCAGAACTTCACCCTTCCTAATTTTTACCTAAACAAAACTGTGCATTTGTAGAACAGGGGAAGAAATAAAATGATGTATAAACATATATAAAATTGTGATGAATGATTTTCTGTTCCCTCTCCAGGAGACACAGGACAACTCCCTTCTTGGGAGTTCTGACTCCTCCCTAGACAGATATTCTGACAGATTCTAAAAAACATATTTTCTATATACTTCATAGTTCAGTGATGCTAAACTAGTATAATCCTTAGTGGAAAAAAAAATCCACACAGGAATAGTAGTCCTCTGAATTTTCAAAGGAATGTGAGTAGCTGAAAGCTAATCAAAAGGCTAAGGAGGACTTAAAAATAAGCGGTTTCTAAAAGTAAAATGAACATCAGCAAAACTGTGTTCCCCTCTTTAAAACTTCAACGCTCTACAAGCACCTACTTTAAAAAAAATCACCTACCATTCTCAAGGTACAGAAGCATTAAAAATGATAAAGAACCAACTGTCTAGACATAGTATGCCATAGATTATACTCACATATTAGAAATAAGGCTACATATGATACCTCCACTATCTAGCATCTGATTTAGTTGGCATTCTCAAGTATTCTGAATGATGTTGAAATTTAGAAATTTAAAGTTTTTTTTCTTTTCTTTATTTATCTTTGGAGGGGAAGGGAAGGAGAGAGGGAGAGAAACATCAATGTATGGTTGCCTCTCATGCATCTCCTACTGGGAACTGGCCGGCAACCCAGGCATGGGCCCTGACTGGGAATCAAACTGTGATCCTCTAGTTCACAGGCCCACACTCAATCCACTGAGCTACACCAGCCAGGGCAAGAAATTTAAAGAGTTTTTAAAAATTTGTACAAATTAAAAAATACATCAACGATGCACAGTATATCTACAATTATAAAAATGTAAACCAGCTTAAATGCCTCTACCATCCACTAGGCTTTCTAAAGAACATTTCTCCCTGACAGAAGGCAGTGTGGCAATCAAAATGAGATGCTACATCCCGTATTTTTCAGATGAGAAGTCTGGATATTTCTCCAGTAAAAATGACCTAGCAAAACTACTGCACAAATGCCTGCTTTTAGAACTTCTCAGTTACAAGGAATTAATACAATATACAGAGCACTCTATCACAGACATAGATGACCAAGTGCTGAGTCATATTGAAATAATAATATGTCTGAACCTGGACAGTAGTTGAAAAGATAAGTAGGGAGCACAATAATAGTTATTTTATTTCAAAGAAAAAGCTTTGGTAAATGCTGCCTTAACCCTAGAGTATATATTAATTTTTCACAAACTAATGCACACTACCTTTTTTGTAAGAAAAGAACAAATGACAGGAGATTAAGCTGATAGAAGACATTTCTTTGCATAACCAAAAGTCAGAGAAGCTCACAAAATCAATACTGATTCAGCCCAATAGAAAATGCAGATGAGAGTAATGGATTCTTATGATAATCCTGACTCATAAAAAAAAATGAACTCTCTATGGCCTGACTTTTTGGGGAAGCCATCCATTCTCCATAACTGGGGCCATACTGATACACAAGTGCAATGTACTGAGACAGATCCCTCCCACACACTCAAGAGTTCCTGTCCTTTCACAGACCATGAGTAGAGAATAACTTTCTACCAGAGCATAAGCTCTGTGATAGCAAGGGTTTTGAGCACGTCGTTATATTTTGGTATGCATTGTTTGGAGTACAAACTATCAAACCGTAAAACAAATTAACTTATGACCATTTCCTATAAGAACTTGAAAGTGATTTATCCCTTGAAAATCTTGGTAGATCATGTGCTTATGAAAACCAAGTCAATGAAGGCAAGGGGAATACATTTAGAAAAAAATTTCTTTTTTTGAAAATATATTTAAAAAAATATTTACCTTGATTATGCTATTACAGTTGTTCTATTTCCCCCTTCACTCCCCTCCCCCTGCACACCCCTCCCCCACCATCCCCCCTTTAGTTTATGACCACGTGTCTCAAGTTCTTTAGATTCTCTATTTCCCATACTATTCTTGCCCTCCCCCCTATTTTCTACCTACTGTCTATGCTACCTATTTTCTGTACCTTCTCCCCCCTTCTCCTCCTCCCACTCCCCTGTTGCTAACCCTCCATGTGATCTTCATTTCTATGGTTCTTCTCCTGATCTAGCTGTCCTCTTAGTTTGCTTTTGTTTTAGGTGCGGTTCTTAATAACTGTGAGTTTGCTGTCCTTTCACTGTTCATCTTTTTTTATCTTCTTTTCCTTAGGTAAGTCCCTTTAACATTTCATATAATAAGGGCTTGGGGATGATGAATGCCTTGAATTTGGTCTTATCTGAGAAGCACTTTATCTGTCCTTTCATTCTAAATGAAAGCTTTGCTGGATAGAGCAATCTTGGATGTAGGTCTTTGGATTTCATGACTTGGAATACTTCTTTCCAGCCCCTTCTTGCCTGCAAGGTCTCTTTTGAGAAATTGGCTGACAGTCTGATGGGAACTCCTTTGTAGGTGACAGTCCCCTTATCTCTTGCTGCTTCTAGGATTCTCTCCTTCATTTTAATCTTGGTTAATGTAATGATGATGTGCTTTGGTGTGTTCCTTCTTGAGTCCAACTTCTTTGGGACTCTCTGAGCTTCCTGGATTTCCTGGAAGTCTATTTCCTTTGCCAGATTGGGGAAGTTCTCCTTTATTATTTGTTCAAATAAGGTTTCCACTCGTGGCGTGGCTGTTCCTCTTTCCCTTCTGGTATCCCTATAATTCGGATGTTGGAACATTTAAAGATGTCCTGGAGGTTCGTAAGCCTCTCCTCATTTTTTTGAATTCTTGTTTCTTCATCCTTTTCTGTTCGGTCATTTTTTTCCTCTTTCTGGTCCACTTCCTTGATTTGAGTCCCAGTTTCCTTCCCATTACTATTGGTTTCCTGTGCATTCCCCTTCATTTCAATTAGTTTAGCCTTCATATGTTCCTCTAATTTGTGACTAAAATCAACCAGTTCTGTGAGCATCCTGATCACCAGTGTTTTGAACTGTGCATCTAAAAGTTTGGCTATTTCTTCATTGCTTAGAGTTATTGGCTCTGGGGCTTTGAGCTGTTCTTCTTGAGCCATAATGTTCTGATCTGTTCATGCCTGTTAGGTATGAGGAGTAGAGCCTTAGGTGTTCACCAGGGTAGGGCCGCTCAGGTGGCTGGTTTGTGATGCTGTATGTGGGGGCGGGGTCAGAGAGGGACAATGGCGATCCCCTCTGCTGCTTCTCACCACTGGGGCCTGCACGGTCTGTGTCACCGCTTGCTCCTTCACCGGTTTATCTGTGCGAGACTGTGTGACAGTGGTCAGCCCTCAGTGAGTCCACCGCCTTGCACCCTCAGTGGGTCCGCCCGCTACTTCACACCTGGGATCCTACCACAAGTGCTGGTGTACCTGGGTTGCGCGCCCGGGTCAGTCCGGTGGATCTTTCCTGCCCGACCCCACTCTGCTGCTGGCTCTGCCCCTCTTACCAGTTTGGCTGAAGGGTTCGTTGTTGTCAGACCTCCGTATAGTTCAATTTTCTGTGGTTTGGCTGTGTTTTTGTTGCTAAAACTTTGTTGTTTTTAAACTTGGCTGTGCAAGAAGGCACAGTGCTTCCACCTACGCCTCCATCTTGGCGGAAGTCAGAAAAAAATTTCTTTTCATGCTAGCTTTTAGGTATCTGAGGATTAGACCCTCTGGGAAGTTACTGAACCAAGATCATACAATAGAAAGGGTAAATACTACAGCAGAGACTTTGTGGAGAAACACTTACATGGAAGAATGGCAGAACTGGGTCAGCACCACTTCACAGCAAAGCCAATGTCATGGCTTCAGAACATTTCTTCCCCGAGCATAGATCCCCAAGAACCATCCAAGCCATGGTGGTGTTGGCAAACTTTGGTAAACTGTATTCCTACTATTTCCCACTGACCTTACTATTATTATTACCAAGAGAAGGAAGATACCGGTAGTTAGGAAAGTCCTATCTTGAATTACCTGATGCCGGGCTCGACTCTGGTCCAGAAGTTGCCGAGACTGAAGTTTTTGTTGTTCGAGTTGCTGCAGAGCAAAGTGGAGCTGGTAACTGCCTGCGGTAGGGTGGTACTTGTGCTGGGGGGCCACGCCAGTGGCCCTGCTGTACGCGTTGTTCTCTACCTCTCCCTCCCAGGCAAATCCCCCGATTTGGAGGCTCCTAGAGAGAAAAAAAAACAGATTTCTTAGAGTGGTTGTATGAATGAATTAAAAAAGAGAAGTATCTCAGGTATTTTTCCTTTATAGAACTATACACAGTTTGAATTAAAAATCTATTTGTGTGCTAAATTATCTGCCGTGCCCATTAAACTGTGAACACAAAGACAGGGTCTGCTCTGCTCTCCATTCTGTTTGTCATTCTCATAGGCCTGGCACATGGCCAGTGCTCAATAAATGTCTGTTGAATGTTAAACAATTAAAATAGCAATTTCACTTTCCTCAACAAAATATTAACCAACCCGATTCAACAATACCTTAAAAAGATAATACACCATGATAAAGTGGGATTTATTCCACGGGTGCAAGGTTGGCACAACATCTGCCAATCAATAAACATGATGTACCATATAAACAAAGTGAAGAATAAAAGCCACACGAGCATATCAGCTGATGCAGAAAAAGCCTTAGATCAAACCCAGAACTCATTTATGATAAAAAACTCTCTGCAAAGTGGGAACAGACATAGCATATCTCAATGTAATAAAGGCCATATATGGCAAACCCATAGCCAACATCACGCCCCATGAGCAAAAACTGCAAGTGTTTCCCTTAAGATTGGGAACAAGACAGTGGTGTCTGCTTTCACCATTCAACATAGCACTGAAAGTCCTAGTTGCAACTATCAGACAAGAAGAAATAGAAGGCATCCAAATTGGAAAGGAAAAAGTAAAATCGTCATTATTTGCAGATGACATGATACTGTATTATAAAGAACTCTAAAGATCCCACCAAAAAACTACTGGAACTGATAAATAAATAGAGTAACAGGATGCAAAATAAATATCCAGAAATCAGTTGCATTATTTACACCAATAATGAACTATCAGAAATGGAAACTAAGAAAACAATCCCATTTGCAATTACATCAAAAATAAATTTAACCAAGGGTGTAAAAAACCTGTACTTGGAAAATTATAAGACACTGAAGAAAGAAATTGAAGAAGATACAAATAAGTGGAAATATATATGGTGTTCATGGATAGGAAGAATGAACATGTAAAAATATTCATACTACCCACATCAACTTATACATTCATCACAATTCCTACCAAGATGCCAATGGTGTATTTCACAGAACTATTTTAGAATATTCCAAAAATTTATATAGAACCACAAAAGACCCTAAATAGGAATCATGCTACCTGATATCAAAATATACAACAAGGCCATAGTAATCAAAACAGCATGGTACTAGGATAAAAACAGACACAGATTAATGGAACAGAATAGAGAGCCCGGAAACAAGCCCACACTTTTATAGTCAATTAAATATTTGACAAAGGGGATAAGAATATACAATGGGACAAAGACAATCTATTCATTAAGTGGTGATGGGAAAACTGGATAGACTTGCAAAAATATGCAACTATACCTCCTTCTTACACTGTACATAATAATGAACTCAAAATGGATTAAAAACTTAAATGTTAGACTCAAAACTGTAAAAATCCTAGATGAAAACACAGGCAGCAAAATCTTGGACATTGCTTATAGCAAGTGTTGTTCTTTCTGATATATTGCTTTGGGCAAGGGAAACAAAAGAAAAAATAAACAAATGGGTCTACATCAAACTAAAAAGTGTTTGCATTGCAAAGCAAACCATCAACCCACTGAACAGGGGAAGATATTCACCAAAGATATATCTGGTAAGGATATTTGGATACTGAAGTTAATATGCAAAGTTTTTAAACAGCTTACAAAACTCAACACCAAAAATTCCCCAAACAATCCAATTGAAAAACGGGCAAAGGACCTGGATAGACGCATCTCAAAAGGGACACACACCTGGCCAAGAGACACATGAAAAAATGCTCAACATCATTAATTATCAGAGAAATGCAAATTCAAACAACAATGAGATATCACCTTACACCTGTCAGAATGGCTATCATCAGTAAGTCAACAAATAGATGTTGGTTAGAATGTGAAACACCGGTGGGAATGCAGATTGGTGCGGCTGGGCTAGAAAGCAGTGTGGGGTTACCTCAAAAAATTAAAAATGGAACTGGTCTTAGAACCCAGTGATTCCACTTCTGGGAATATACCTGGAAAAAACCCAAAACACTAATTCACAAGAGTATACGCACTCCTATGTTCACTGCAGCATTATTTACAATAACTAAGATGTGGAAGCATTCTGAGTGCCCATCAGTGATGAGTGGATAAGAAAACTGGAACATTTACACAATGGAAAACTACTCATCTGTACAAAAACAGAAAGAATTATTACCATTTGTGATAGCATGGACCTGGAGAATATTATGTTAAGTGAAATAAGCCAGTCAGAGAAAAACAAATACCATTATGATTTCGCTTATATGTGTAATCTAATAAACAAAATAAACTAACAAAATAGAAACAGACTCATAGATCCAGAGAATAGAAAGACTGACAGCTGTCAGAGAGGAAGGAGTTGGAGGGCTGGGTGAAAAAGACGAAGAGGTTAAACAAAGAAATGAAAATACCACGGACAACAGTGTGGTGATCACCAGAGGGAAAGGGGGAGGGGAAGGCAGACAAGGGTAACGGGGGAGTATGCAGTTATGAAAGGAGGCTTGACTGGGTGGTGAACACACAGTACGATATATAGATGATGTAATACAGAACGTACACCTGAAACCTGTATAATTTTATTAACCAATGCCACCCCAATAAATTCAATTAAAAATTTTAAAGAATAGTAAATTTTATGTTATGTATATTTTACCATAAAATTTTTAAAAAGGTTTCTATATATTTTAGAACAGTCTCATTTCACAGTTCTTCCATTTCCTTAACGCTTTTATTCTCTGAACCTTCTTTAGCTTTCCTGTATGTCTTTTTCCTTCTCAAGGTGAAGTTATCAGAAAATTGCTCACAGAAGAAACGTTCACAGTGAACAACCTCACCCCAAACCCTGGTTAATGGAGCTTACAAAAATGAAAACCGTGCCCAATTTAACAGACGAATAGCGATTTAAATCATTGCTCTTCTTTCCTTGGTAAACACTCTTTGGTAGTAGTGTCATTTCAATGGCAGAGATACGGCCATGCAGGGTGAGGTTATGCAGACTTTCCTGGGTCCTGACCTGCAGCCTGCCTGCTTACTTAGAGCCTGGGTCCCAGTGGCCCCGACAGAGATGGGTGGGAAGGTGCACAGCGGAATGTCTGCTGCGTCCAGGAGCCCAGGCTCCCTTCTCGACCTCCCTCACATCTTGGTCAGTTCAGGTCTCTGCTTTCGTCTCCCTGTCTCTCCGAGAGATTTCCAAATACCTAGTTAAAACAAAGTCTTTGTAATGTGTTGTGAAGTCCGTGGACGAAAGGCTCTCTACTCACAGACTCTCACTGCTCACGTGCCACATCCCTCGGCCATCTCCTCCCACAGGGTGGCTCCCACAGTTCAGTCACACGATCACACTTTCAACTGATCTTGGAGAACAGTACCCCAAAATCTCAGAGCTTATTTAATCATTTTTTCAAATATGGCATTTGATCATCAGTGATCCCTCTTGAAATGCTTTAATGTGCAAACTGTTACACAATTAAAAAAAAAAAGATCTTTCCCAAGGTGCTTCTGGAGGTATGAAGGACTGTGGCCACCAGTGAATGAATACAAGTATGTTCTTAAATCCATGAGTAAAATGCTACCCTTATTCACAAAGCAAAGTGCTCAGCGAGAGTCAAACAGGAGTTACAGGGTTAGGAAGAGAGGGGCCAGAGAAGTGCCTGAATGGCTGGGGAGACACTGCGGAGCAGGAGGGGCGAAGGAGAAAGGAATCAGGCACCAGTGAAGGGAAGGTTCGAGGCAGAGTGGGCTGACCAGGTGAACAAATGAACACAAGGAAAGAGGCAGACAAAACTACAGGAACTGCAAATAACCTTGAGATTTCCATACGGACTAGGGCAGGAATTTGAATCTAAAAACTACCATTTATGGTAACTGCACCAAAGGTCCGAAAATCCACTGACTGTTCCTCTGCTTCCACTCCTGGCTTGCGAGTTTTTGGCCACGGAAGCTATCTAGACTCAGGGATTAGATAACAGAGGGTTTATGTAACCATGTGACTTATATCAGAATTCATCTCACTGGCTAGCTAGATTGGTTTTATTTCCACAAACTGCTTTAATAACAAATAACCTTAAGACACATTTGCTTTAATGTCTTCTCACTATATATTGGACATCAGAGTCGGTAACTAGGCCTCCTTATTTGGAGATAAACATGGATGGATTCTCAGGTGTGAGTGTGCAAAGCAGACGCTTGTGAAAGCAAAAGGTAGGCCAGTGAGCAACAGAAGATCAAATAAGGGACTTTGGATATGAGGAGGTTTATCCATCCAACTGTACACGTATTGAACAGACTGCAATATCATAAACTTTTATAGTGAAAGCTGTTTTTAATCTCATCGGTGACATAAACCCAGTATCCAAATCACAAAAGGAAGTTTCTCAATTGAGTTGAAGCTTTTAGCAAAGAGGCAGGAATTTTCACAGCGCAACACCAGGTGGGGGCCGGACTGCTCAGCTGTGTCAGGCCATGTGGTACGTGCCACGAGACGCTTGCTTGCTCTGATTACAGTGGGTGTCACCCGACCACGGGGTCTCACAATCAAGCGCAAGCCTTCAGGGTGTGCAGTGTGTGAGTGTGTGAGTGACTGACAGACGGGCCGGTGCACTCTCACTGGGGGTCGGCCTGAGTTCTGTATCTGCACTTCCCTCTCTCGAGCATCTAACAGGGTCCTTTGCCACCCAAAAGTCCATCCTGCTTTCTGGAACCTCAATCCCAAAATTCCATCCCACTCTCTTCAACCTTAATTCCTTCTAGTTTACTACTCATCCATTTTCTACCCCCCACTGAAATGTTGAGATTCGTTCACTTATTCTTCTAAAATTGAGGTTGTATTCTATTATCCTCTTGGCATTCACTCTTCCCACAATACTAAAATATGTTATTGTGCATATA